CTTTCTTGTGGCTGGCCAAGTCTCTGTTCCATTAAGACGGGTCAAATTACAATTGTATACATGCGGTTTTTTAACTATATTGGCTTCTTTTTGTCACAGACAACTGGAGTCAGCTCACACCATTTGCCCCACGAAGCTTAGTACAATGCCAGACATCACTCAGGAGGGCACCATCAGCAGCATCCATTGATCCTAGGTATTTAATGTCTTGCACTCTTCTTCTACGGTTTCTGTCTGTGATATCCTTCATGGTGAGTCCTCCTACCTCAGTTATCATAGCATTGGTCTACCAACGTTCACTAAGTCCAGCCCGCTCAAAACCATGTTGCTACTGTTCAAAGTTGCCTCCCAAGGTCTCACCATCTTCTGCACTTATCATTAACAGAGATCAGCAAGTTCCAAGGCAGCTGCCATCATATATTCTCACCTATCACATCCATGACAATTGCAAACAAAAAGGGGCTTGACGCTGAGCACTGCTGCAGGCCAATGATTACTGGTAATTCTGTACTGTAGCCCCATTTAGTCTGGACTACTGTAGTCACTCCATCATACCTATCCTGGATAAGCTGGACATAGCTTTCTTGCACACCTTTCCATCACAAACTCTACCCAATTCGTTTTCTTGGTACATGACTGGACGCCTTCTCCAGGTCCACAAAGTCCATAGCCAGTTGCCATCTCTTTTCTCTCAACTTCTCCATGAGGATTCATAGCACAAATACAGCATTAACAAACGTGTAAGATAAGTGATGCCTTCCCTTCCCAGTGACTTTGCCAGGAAGCCAGGACTCATTATTATTACTTGCATTGTAGTAGTGCCAAAGGTCTTCAGCCCCGTCATGCTGGGCCCTGTACAAACATAAGACAGTCCCTGCCCTGAAGAGCTTAGTCTAGAAGGGCTTGTCTACACCATACATTGTACTGCACTAACTATCACAGTACAGTTAAAGCAACATGATTGCCCTAGTGTGGATGTTGTTATACCAGTGGAAAGGGCTTTATACTGGTATAGCTATTCCCATATAGGAAGGGGAATACTTTATACTGGTTTAGGGCATATTTTTGCCTATATAACTGCATCCACACCAGGGGTTTTATCATTAAAAAATGACAGCCCTAACCAAAATGGTTATACCATTTAAAAAATGTGTGTAGACCATACCTTAGATCGGGGTAGGCAACCTATGGCACGCGTGCCGAAGGTGGCACGCGAGCTGATTTTCAGCGGCGCTCAGACTGCCCGGGTCCTGGCCACCGGTCCGGGGGGGGCTCTGCATTTTAATTTAATTTTAAATGAAGCTTCTTAAACATTTTAAAAACCTTATTTACTTTACATACAACAATAGTTTAGTTATATGTTATAGACTTCTAGAAAGAGACCTTCTAAAAACGTTCAAATGTATTACTGGCACGCGAAACCTTAAATTAGAGTGAATAAATTAAGACTCGGCACACCGCTTCTGAAAGGTTGCCGACCCCTGCCTTAGACAGCTGGGTTCTATTCTCAACTCTGCCACTAACAATTGTTCAGTGGCCATGGGGCTGTGTCACCTATCAGTGGCTCACCACCATAGCCCTTTATAAAATGGGGATAAAAAAATCTAAGGTCTTCCTGGTACAAGTCTTTGGAGACTTAATTAATTAACGTTTGTAAAGCATGTTGAGATTCTTATATGTAAAGAGCTATCAAAGAGCAATGTATGGGCTTGGGGTTATGGCATGGGGCTGGGAGTCAGGAGAGATGGATTCTACTGCTGGGTTCACCTCAATTTCCTCATCTTCAAAACAGAGATAATGGTGATGATCTCCCATGCCTTATTAATTAAGGTTTGAAAAGTGCACTGATCTATTGAAGAGAAAGGTGCTCTGTAGGGATAAAGTATGATTGTAATGATTCTGTTTTCTGGAATGTAACAGTGCACTCATGACCCCTGTTTACTGTTGACCCTTGTTCTGTGTGGGGCCCAGACGGCACACTAAGCACTGACTGATCCTGCAATAAAATTCTCAATTAACTTCAAAACATCACCTAAGTCTCTCAGGTTTAGAAATGTAAAGGGATGCTGCTAAGTACTCTTCTATCAGTGGCAGAGCCAGACTACAACCCAGGAGTCCCAGCTCCCAGCACTAACCCCCAGACTTCACCCCACTCTCCAAACTGGGATAGAACCAGGAGACAGGCCTCCCAGGCCCCCTGCTCTTACCACTAGACCTCATGCCCCTCCCAGCACTGGGACTATAACCCAGGCATCCAGGCTCCTAAATCCCCCCACCAGCTAGGGCTGGGAACTAGGGTGACCAGATGTCCCGATTTTGGGGTCTTTTTCTTATATAGGCTCATATTACCCCACCCCCTGTCCCGATTTTTCACTTTTGCTGTCTGGTCACCCTACTGGGAACAGAACCCAGGCGTCCAGGCTCCCAAATCTCCCCACTCCCTGGGGCTAGGAACAGAACCCAGGCGTCCAGGCTCCCAAATCTCCCCACTCCCTGGGGCTAGGAACAGAACCCAGGCGTCCAGGCTCCCAAATCTCCCCACTCCCTGGGGGTAGAAACAGAACCCAGGTGTCCGGGCTCCCAAATCCCCCCACCCCCTGGGGGTAGAAACAGAACCCAGGCGTCCGGGCTCCCAAATCCCCCCACCCCCAGCGACCTGACCACGCTGCTCGGGGAAGCGACAGCCAGACACGTGCGCACCAGCAGCGCCGCAGCAACCAGCCAGGAACTGAGAGCTTTGCAGGCAGCCTGTGATTGGTTCCTTCTCCCTGAAGCTCCGCCTCCCAGTGACAGAGGGCAGGCCCCTCGCTCCGCCTCCCCGGCCTCCTTCCCAGTTGCGGTTGGCTAGAGATGCTGCCAATGGAGTCCTTCGTCGGCCGGGGGTGGGCTGCTTGTTGCGTCTGCAGGCGGCATCCAACCACAAGGGGCAGAACCGCAGGCGCCGAGGCCCCATTGGAGGCTGGTGATGTCAAGCTCCCGGCTCTGGCCACGGCGGCTCGCGGGAGCGCAGGCTGGGCCAGTGGTGATGTAGCGGTGGCCGGGCAGGGGCAGGGGCAGAGGCAGGGAGCGGACGGGCCCCGGCAGCAGGCAGCAGCCCCCAGGTGCAGGTCAGTGCACGGGGCGGGGGTCCTGCGGCCGGCCGGGAGCCTGGCACAATGGGGGGGAGCGGGGTGCAGCCTGCCGGGGATGTGGGGGGTCACTGGGTGGAGGTGGGGGCTTGTCACCCGCTGGGGGAGGTGCCCGGCCCTGTTCCAGGGTATGTCCCTATCACCCTCCCTCCCTCTGCCCCCGTGCACATTCCTGCTGGCACTGAGGACTCTTATTTGGGTGGGGGGACCTGCATCCTCCCCGGGATTTATGCAGTTCAGTTTCATGCCTTTGGGGTGGTGATGTCTGAAGGAGCCGCTGTTCGATGCAGCCTCCTTGCGGTATGTCAGTCTCATCCTCAGGCTGTTGCTAGCGCCTGGTGTGCCCGTAGGTGCTGGAACTGGGGGTGCTGCAGCTAGCACCCTCTGACTTGAAGTAGTTTCCACCAGATACAGGGTTTGGTTTGGTTCTATGGCTCTCAGCACCCCCACTATACAAATTGTTCCAGTGCCCCTGGGTGTGCCCCAATAATAGGACCCCCACAGTGGGGCTCTGCCCAGATGGTGCTGGGGTGCGTTCTCCTTCGCAGGGTTGCCAAGGCATGTTTGGTAAGGACAGCGTGCATTTGTTTTTCCTTAGGGAAGGAGGCTTATTGGTCAGTCTCCACCTTTCCTCTAAATCCCAGACTGGATGCATCCTTTCCCAGCAGAGGCTGTGGGGGTGATGGACTTTGGGGGCAAGTCCCTTTAAAATTCTGTATCTGAATGGGATATAGCTGGGATGGATATTAGATGTACTTGACTCAAAAGGCATTTGTTCTGGGCAGGAGGGTTTTCCCAATGGCATTGGGGTTGTTATCGGAGGGGCGTTATAGGTATTACCTAGAGAGAGGCAGGAGATCAATTCATGGAGAATGAGACACCCAAGGAAGGTGAATGCTGTGTGTGTGTGTGGTGGGTCCTGTTCCACTCTTCGATTGGAGGTTGGGGGTAATAGACATAGTCAATCCAAACAGCCACAGTGGTGCGTGGAGAGAGGTTGCGGCTTTTGAGGTGTGACTTAAACATGTGTTTGGACTGGAGGGTAGGAGGGGCCTTGTGGAGCTGGCTAGATTACTCAGATTCCTGAATCACAGGCTGGCCTACCCGTGGGCATTGGCATGGCTAGTAATGATGATAAATGATCCGTTGTCTGAATCACAGGCTGTCAGAGGGAGGGTGAAAAGGAAGCACTAACCAGTTGTGGTTAACTAAGCACCAGTGTCCGTTGCTTAGTGTATTGACACTGTTACTGGGGGTGGTTTTTAGACTGTAACACAATGAGCTTTCCTCCACCCTCAGTAAAGATTCCTGCAGCACAAGGGAGACTAAACTGGGAAGACTTCTCAAGGTAGCAGGTTGAAACTCTGTAGCTTCATGTGGGGATTTTCCTCTGGGGGGGTCCAGCTCGCTTTGCATTCGGCACTGTACCCTATGTTCAGGGTATGTCTCACAAGCTGAGTGGCTTGTCACAGCCCTGTAGTTGCAAGATCCGTTCAGCAAAGCTGGGATTCACCTTACAAACGTCGGTTTCAGAGTAGCAGCCGTGTTAGTCTGTATCCGCAAAAAGAAGAACAGGAGTACTTGTGGCACCTTAGAGACTAACAAATTTATTAGAGCATAAGCTTTCATGGACTACAGCCCACTTGCATCC